CTTTTTCTTATGGTGCTTTCAAGCTTAAGATTTTTTGGGAGAATTTTGAAGATGGAGAAGTGCAACAAGAGTACTGGCCGAAGCAACTAAGTGTTTTGTCTTTCATGGATCGGCTGCCACATGTGCACACGACCAAGTCTATTCCACACTCTCTCCATAAGGATCCAGCCGCCAGTATACGGTTTAAGTCTTTCGTACGTGGAGAAGTACAACAGAGTACTTTGTCTTCACATTGTTGATATGCCTTGTATGGATCGGGTGCCACATGTGTACATGACCAAGTCCATTCCACAATCTCCATAAGGATCCAGCCGTGCCTAATACTTCTGTTACTCTGTACATGTCGATGGTCGATATACATTAATAGAGGTCAGATTCCCTCAGCTTCTAGCTAGAGGATGTTTAAGTATACTGAATTGCTATTTGTAGTCCTAACTTTCTTTTATTTGTAGCCCTAAGATAATTTAATTACTATTTTACCCTTCCTCTTTTTTAAAATTAAAACTTGTTACAAGACTCCAACCAAAAACTCCCTTCTCTCCCAATTTAACAGTCGCCGGTTTCCTCTCAAATATTGTCGCCGGCGACGACAACCTCTCACCGGAGACAACGACCTCTCGCCGGAGACGAAATCAGAGCGCCTCATCGGAGAAGAGACTTGGTCGCCGGAGGGAATATTTGATTTTTGTACGGAGTCCGGCCTATTCATCGCCGGTGATGGACAAACGTCCTGTCCAAGCGTTGCCGGCGACGGACGAACGTCCGGCCAGGACGTTGACCTGTCGCCGGCGACGCCTGGAAAGGACGTCGCCCTCGCCGGCGGCTGGTAAACGACCGTTTTTAAAAAATATTAATTTAGGGTTTTTTCTCGTTTAATTTAATTTAGGTTAATTATCTGCTTTAATTATTATGATTTAATGTATGTTAATTATCTACTTTAAAACAATTACTTTAACTATGTAGGTTAATTATATGCTTTAATTATTATGATTTAATGTAGGTTAATTACTTTGATTATCTACTTTAATTATGTAGGTTAATTATTACTTTAAATATGTTAATATTTAATATATACGAAAATTATGTCGGTTAATGTTTTCATTTAATTGAAATTAGATAGGAAAGTGATTCGGGCCCAAATGTCACAGCAGAGAGTGACGCATACCATCTAATGCCTAATATAAAACAGGGTAAGCAGTAATGAATTGTTTTGGAGTCATCGAAAATGTGGACTCGAACCTTTTTAGCTGGTAGCCAATGGGAAGCACAGGAGGAAATGGTGCAATTTTTTGTCTTGCTAGGAAACTTCTTTTGAGCTACGGACTATAAAGTCTTTAAACTGGCAGGCCGGTGCCGGCAGGGAATTAACGATAACCGCATTTCTTATCGGAATCAAATAATTTTTTTAATTTTATTTTATGAATTTGATACCATTTTCACACATATAAACAGAAAGTAGAATACAAGCACACGGAGGGCTGGTGAAGTCGTGAAGATCATGTCAAACAGTAGATAAAACAACACTTCAAAATTTCCAAAAATTAAAAATAAATAGATAACCTTAAGATAATATGGCAACAAATATTAGTGAATTAGTGGTAGGCCTGCTTGACATTTTGGAAGACCAGAGGATATTCATCAACTTTTTGGATGTATAGGGTATGAAAATAAGCCTCCCTAACCCATATAAAATTATTATTTTATATGATAATAGGGACAAACGTTCGAATATTATAGTCTTATAATTAGCATTATATTATATTTAATTTTGTCATAAGTTGGGAAATGTTGGAATGAGTCAATGAAGAGCAAAGTTTTTCAGATTTTCTCGTATGCTCCTTTCAATTTGAACTTTGCCCGACCAAAAACAAATTTAGAAGTCCAAAATCTTATACTATGTACTTAATTGCGAATACGAGTTTAGTTCAGTAGCAATTTCACTGATCTTACGCCTTAAAATCAAAATTTCAAATTTTTTAAATAGCATCTAACTATAAAATGAAAACCATATATCACCGTTAAAAAGTACTTTTTTAGTTTTTTTACAAAAAAAACAATCATATATTGATTGAAAAAGAGATAGAACACATTACACCATGGAATTGATGCACGACCAAAAATCAAAGGAACGACACGAGGTCGGGAACAAAGAAATGACCTTTCTAGCCACCAAATGGGTTACCCTATTGCTAATCTAACCTAAAATCGCACAACAAAACCACTACAAAGCACCAATAGACATAGGACTTCCTCAAGAATATCCCAGAGTAACTATCTCGCTTGTCTGCCAGGATTATCTTATCAATGATCACATTTGCATCCCCTTCAAAGCAAACTTGTGAGAGACCAAGATCCATATAACACTAGATGGCCTCCTGAAGGACCAAAAGCTCTACCAAGGCTGGTCATCAATATCTGCAACGTACACTCCGGCCAATACAATAGACCCTCTAAGGTCATTCATGCAAATGAACGAAGTCGGATCATCCGAGCTCGGTCCCCACACTTGGGAGTGGGAATGTGGATCATTCTCTCTGCTGGAAAGCTAATCAATTCCTAGACTTGTTGAAGATATTGCCGCATCAAGGTAGAAATTCAGAATTGCTTACCCTCAAAGGCAACCATCCTTGATCTCCAAATCTGCAAAAAAATTGCTACGACAACCATAATTTGGTGGGATTGAGTGATAAGTACCAACAACTTCTTCAGAAACAATGGAAGAGTATGGCGTGGGAGCCCCTGGCCCAGATATTCTAAACCAAGGTAATCCCGAAGTGCTCTTGCCACAGTGCAATCCAGAAACAGATGCTCTGTTGTCTCCGAATCTACCCAGCAGACCGAACTACGAGGCACTACTTCAACCTTCTTCACAATAGGAGCCTCTGTTGTTGGGAGGATGCAATGGAATATCCTCCAAAGGAAAATTTTCATCTTTGGCGGAATTGGTAGCTCCCACACATCCGAATCCAACTAACTCTATTCATCCAACTGACCATTTGACGTCAACCACCTCGCTGTCTATCAATCAAAACTCAAACTTAATTACCTATTTTATTGATTAACACTTTTAGGAGGCTGATGAGAAATGGCTTAGTTTTATTTGCCCTAGTTTTCTTAATCGACTCTTATCTTCTTAATCACCTATGAGTAACTAAATCTCGACCTTTAGAACTAAGTGGGTCCAGAAAATTCAGATCTAAGGGTTGTCAATTAAAGACATTTTATTTGTCCTAGTTTTCTTAATCGGCTCTTATCTTCTTCGTTATAACTCAAATTTCAAATTTTGTTTGCACAGATGGAACGAGTTCGTTGTGCTCTACAAAATGAGATCAATTTTCAATATATTTCGAGGAACTTTTGTTTTACCAACTACATGCCATATAGTAACTTCTTCATTTTTAAGTCGTTTTTGAAAACGTTTGCTCAGAAGGAACGAGTTCATCATGATCTATTGGATCTATAAATTTCTGGGTGAAAAAAATACTGGATCAAAAATTACCATACTTTAACACTATGGTATGTGGGTCCAGAAAATTCATATCTAAGGGTTGTCAATTATAGGCATTTTATTTTCCCTAGTTTTCTTAATCGGCTCTTATCTTCTTCGTTCTAACTCATATTTCAATTTTTTTTTTTACACAGATGGAACGAGTTCGTTGTGCTCTACAAAATTAGATCAAGTTTCAATATATTTCGAGGAACTTTTGTTTTACCAACTACATACCATATAGTACCTTCTTCATTTTTATGTCATTTTTTAAAACGTTTGCTCAGAAGGAACGAGTTCATCATGATCTATTTGATCTATAAATTTATGGGTGAAAAAAATACTGGATCAAAAATTACATACTTTAACACTATGGTATGTAGGTCCAGAAAATTCAAATCTAAGGGTTGTCAATTAAAGTCATTTTATTTTCCCTAGTTTTCTTAATCGGCTCTTATCTTCTTCGTTCTAACTCAGATTTCAAATTTTTTTTTTTTTTTTTTGAACAGATGGAACGAGTTCGTTGTGCTCTACAAAATGATATCAATTTTCAATATATTTCGAGGAACTTTTGTTTTACGAACTACATACCATATAGTAACTTCTTCATTTTTAAGTCGTTTTTGAAAACGTTTGCTCAGAAGGAACGAGTTCATCATGATCTATTGGATCTATAAATTTCTGGGTGAAAAAAATACTGGATAAAAAATTATCATACTTTCACACTATGGTATGTGGGTGGTAACTTGTGGTAACTTGTAGTAAACAATGATGAAAGTCGTAAATGACAGTTAGTATACTCCTACTATCATGTATTCAACCTTCTTACCATATTGGTATGTTCATACCAACATGGTACGCCTTCTTACCATATAGTATTAAATAGGAGAGAGAGGATACTGACGTGATACTAATGTGGACAGATTACTCATGATTACTGACCATAGAATTACTGACCTGATCCGTTCCCATAAGAAGTACCCTGGAAATTCCACAAGCCCTTTCCAAATTAACCAAACAAACGGACCTGTCCCTTTCTAACACAGACAGGCTTATCAACGAAGAAATGTGGGAAGGATGAGATCAATGAGCAATAAAACCTGCTATAACCATTCTCTTTGTTTAAATAAACCAGAAAGCAAGAAGCATTTCTGGTAATTTCAATAAACCAAAACCCCACGAAAGGTGCCCATAACTGAACTATTACATATATTCACGTTAAAGGAAGAAGTAAGTAAGCTGTTTAAATTAGGACACAGGAGATGAATTAGACACAAACATGGATATCAGGAAATTAATAGTCCTATAAACCAGATTGTTGATAGAAATTCAAATAGATAGAAATAAAAAAAAGGAAATAAACGAATCAAAGAATCCATAGATGGCCATATCATGTTCATATTCATATATCCTCACACAGAAAAAAAAAACCCCTTTCCCCAAAAAACCAAAGAAACATTGTCCCCAGAGTTTACAAAAACAAGAAGTAAAAACATTTTATTTTGTTGCTGAATTAAGAACTATAACTCTTCCTCTCCATCCTGACCCGAGACCGCTCTTTCAGCCCATGGAGCTGCATTTGCCACACCGCCCTCGACGACGACGTTGAGCCCTCGCTCCGCCGCGGCCTCCCGACGGAGTTGGCCGTGCTGAGCTGGTAGTCGTAGACCAGACGGGAGTCCGGGTCGGACAGCGTGTCGTAAGCTTCCCGGATCTCCAAGAACCGGCGGGTCGACTCTTCTTTCCCGGATGCGGGCCGGACGTCCGGGTGGTGCTGCCGGGCCAGCTTTCTGTAGGCCTTCTTTATCTCCTCGGGCCCGACACTTTCCGATGAGAGTGAGAGCACGTGGTACAAATTGGTCTTTCGGCTAGTGTTATTATTAGTCATGGTGGCTCGGCAGGAGACAATGGAGTTGAGCCGGTTTGGAAGGAATGGTGCTTTCAGGAATTTGTGGGAATTGAGTTGGAGAGAAAGCTCCATACTGGTTTTGGACTGCAGAGAGAGAGAGAGAGTAGGTAGTATGGTTTGGAAGTAGTAGAGCAAATGATGAAATGATTGATGAGAAGGAAGGGCTGGTAGAGGTCTTTTGTATATAAATGGAAATATTGCAAGGTTTTGGCATGAAGAAGGTCCTTTATTAAAAAAAGGATTGCTTAATTGTATGAAGCTGCGAATAGGCGGTAGATGTAGAATGCTTAATTTTATAGAAATATATTAGAGAGGTCTTTGTTTAAGTTAAGTTTTCAGCCGATTTGCACGCATTTTGATTGTATTATATTATATTTATAGGTGCAAACTGAACTTTCTTGTTAGTTTTAAATAATTAATGGACTTATCTTACTAAAATTTGTGTTTTGTAAAACTATGGATATATGAGAGTTTTGGGTTTATAATAAACTTGTAAAATAACATTGTTTGTTTTATAGATTTCATGATGTATTTGGGTTAATTAGATTTGTATGAATAAAGTAAAATTGACCTATATTCTACTCATTAGTATGAATAAAAAGGAAATAGGAAGGGCAAATTGGTCATAAATGATGAACTTGAAAGTCAATGATCAATTCCCACCTAAAGTGGTGGAACTTTCAAGTCTGTGCACACCACGGATTTGACCCTTAAAACTTGTGGAGCCCACGGATTTGTTGCCCCTAAATACATCAAGCAAACAATGGAATTTTGACAAAGTCCATGATGGATCAAAATCCAACACCAAATCCTCAAGCAAACAACCCCTATAATTAGTTGGAATTGGGATCATGGGTATCCTATTCGAGACCATAGATTAAGGAATATTCCGTGTACATCATGTTAGACTGTAATTCAAGTATCACATCGGAATAGAGAAAAAATTTGTTTGTATATAAAAGTTCATTTAGATTTATTAGTAACATGCCTTTCGGAAAGGTACCCAACAATAATTATTTTTAGGATGTGATCTAGTTAGTACCATGCCTTTGGGGAAGGAAATAATGTCATCATTAATGGTGGTACATTCCTTCTCCTCTATATAGCTAGTCAAAATTGAGTGTATTAGGATGTGATCTTGTGTATTGTTATGTGAATGAATGCTATGATTTCATCTCATGCTTGCATTTTTCTATGAAATTTTCGATGCCTATTGTCTATGTATTGATGCTTTTAGTTTCGATGCTTATGTTATGGTCATTGATGGTTCTATAGTATGAATGCTCTTGTAAAGAAATTACCATCTAGAGATACCCCATCGGTGCTACCAGTTGCGTAGCCAGACTTTGAATTGACTAGAGTCCTTAAAATTTATGAAACGCTAAATTTTGTGTATCTAATGAACTTTAGGTTGATTGGTATCCTTAGATGAGCTAACTCGACGAGATTATGAAGTCCTAAACTCAAAGGATCATACCGAACACTACGTATTTAAAGATAGTTTTGTCACATTTTTTCACAAGTGGGGTCCTAGGACCCCACTTCTCAAGACGTGGCTCCGCCACTAGGTGCTAGAAGAGTATGGATGGAATGATCAACTATCTATGCTTCGTGTCATATCAATGCTTGATTGTAAGGTCATCGATGCTATTGTTCGTAGAAGCCCACAATTAATTAGAGATCTTCATTGATTAGGTAATGACATGAAGCGAAAGCACATATTAACTAGTTAAATCTTTATCGCAAGAGCGCGTGCACAAGTAGAGAGTGGCCTTAGCGGAATGGTCGGATAGGGTGTCACCATAGATGAACTATCAATGCATGATTTGAATGAGGCCTAGTATGCATGATAGTTTTTGAGTTCTCTACCTTCTACAATAATGTATCTTTACTTTTATGCATCTGTAAATCGAAAAACTCGAAAAAAAAATTTACTCTTCTTGCTTTGCTTGTTTGTTAAATGAAGATCCCTAAAAGTATTTATGATTCTCGTTTATATCATAGATGATTGGTGTGACTAGTTATGCATTAGAAGACCTCGAGGAATACGATCCCGGGGTCTCATAGAATTTTATCACTTGTCTTCACATCATGTGCGGCTCATCGAGGCCTATTATTTTCGATCATAACTATGAGGATGGATGTAATCGGTTAATTGTTCGTTACTAACTATTTAATCCGTAATCGTTGTAATCGTCAACCACTAATTCCAATTCGATTATCGATTATACCACTAATAACATAACCGTTTACCTGGCCTAGATTCACCGTAATAATCTGTCTCTCCAAGTCTCCATTAATTACTATTAGGGGTGGCTATACGGTTCGGTCCGGTTAAATTGGCCCAAATTGATCCGGTCCAGTCCGGTCTTTTTGAAAATATAAGGACCAAAGATTGGATTGGACACATTGCGGTTTTGATCCGGTCCGGTCCCAATTCGGTCTTGATTTTATATTGAGCTTGTGGGATTTTGAGTGGCCTAAGGCCTGAAAAGGTGAGGAGTTGGTTAAGTTTTGTACTAAGTGCAAAGGTTTGTAACCGTTTATGCAAATTACCCTTAAGTTTTGGGTGTTGAGCTCTCTTATCCGGTCTTTATCTAGTTTTCGATCCGGTCCCAAACGGTTTTTTACCTCAAATCCAAGCTCAAAGATTAGATTGGATTGTTTACTATCCAATCTCGATTCGGGTTATACGGTCCGATTTCGGGTAAACCTAAAAAACCCAAACCAAATAGCCAACCCTAATTACTATATTCTTTACATATCTTCCACTGAAAACAATTTGGGGTCTCAGCTAATAAGACAAGAAGAATGTTTCCATCCAAGAAAAACCAACATCGACCGAAACTTCAATGATCACAGCGAGAGAGCTTCAACTATTCATCCATCCTCTTGTTTTACAAATTAGAAGAAAACAAATCAGCTATGTATTACCCTCACGCGGTTAGACTTTTTCTTATGGTGCTTTCAAGCTTAAGATTTTTTGGGAGAATTTTGAAGATGGAGAAGTGCAACAAGAGTACTGGCCGAAGCAACTAAGTGTTTTGTCTTTCATGGATCGGCTGCCACATGTGCACACGACCAAGTCTATTCCACACTCTCTCCATAAGGATCCAGCCGCCAGTATACGGTTTAAGTCTTTCGTACGTGGAGAAGTACAACAGAGTACTTTGTCTTCACATTGTTGATATGCCTTGTATGGATCGGGTGCCACATGTGTACATGACCAAGTCCATTCCACAATCTCCATAAGGATCCAGCCGCGCCTAATACTTCTGTTACTCCTTACATGTCCATGGTCGATATACATTAGAGGACAGATTGCTAACTACACAAGAAACAATGAACTTCGTGCATGAACATTTCAACCTATTATGTATAGTTTTAATATATATGAACTTAAAACATGATTCACTAAGGGATCGATACATTATCTCCCATTACTATGTCGAGAGATATGTGTGTGTGAGGGGGAGAAAGAAGAGAAGCCCACCATCTCATCAGCTCCTAAAGAAGAAGAAGAAAAAGCATATTTGTTGGTGTATTATACTAATTTTTTCCATATATCCTGGCTAAATTAGGTTAAATTGGGCTAAATCAATCGACTCATTAACCGTTGATCCTCTAGCTCGACCGGACCAACAGGCTAAACCAGGTTGATAATCTTAATCTAAAGTATCAATGTGTAAAAATATTATGTATAATAAGTAAAAATAGGAGAAATATATTTAAATATTAACATAAAGAACTATGCATGTCACCGTAACTTGCACTTTTAGGTCGACCTCATATAGGATTAGGTCACGGGAATGCGACGCTTATTGATCACAGGATACAACCCCGTGACCGATTTAGCAATGTCTAGTGTACTTAGTCATGGGATTTAATTACCGTTATATTTATTATTTATATTGTCACGGGACTAATTTCCCGTGACTATAGAGTGATTTTCTTGTAGTGTTCGTTGTGTTAATGTTACAATATAGTTTAGTAATATGAATGAAGAATGTCTGTATTGCTACAAATAGGGTGGGCATGGGTGGTTGAACCGTGGTTCGACAACGAACTATCTGCAAATAATCTGAATCGTAATGGGAGATGATTGATGTGACTGGATTGTAGGGCGATAATAATCTACTACATGGACTTATTCGGGTGACAGGTGGGTTGGTTGGGCGGCCATCTGAATTATCCTCACGCCATTTTTGTTTCTTTTCTATACTATCAAAGACTCGTCATATTTTCTAATTACACCAGACACTAGTCATCGGCTTCTAAATACTAAAATAATAAAGAATGTAATTAGACTATTAATATAGGTCGCTATGTTGTGTGATGTTCTGTAACATTCCGTTTCGGCTAAAATCGTATTACTGCCACTAGAAAATTTCACGATTTAAAATTGAACATTTTGGCAGTATTTCGACGAAAATCGGATTATCGATCGATCGGATAAGTATACGTATTAATTATATATAATATATATATATAATAATTACATTTTTGCGCCGGGCCGCATATATATTAACATTTCCCCCTGTCCATTATCTCCATCATCAATCTTCTTCGGTTCCATTTATTTGGACCGAGAGCACAGACCGCGCACAGGGCATCGCGAGGGGGGAATTTTCATAGCTCAATTCTTGAGCATTTCTGATCCAAAAATCTCGTAGGTAATGCCTAATCCATCTATACATCGTGATTTATCGATTTATAGCTTTAAAACGAGTTTTTGGTTCAGGAATTTCTCGAATTCCCGATAAGCCAAATTAGGGTTTCGAGTATCCGGAAGCCGGATTGAGCCCAAATTTCATATACGAGCTTCCTGCAGCGAGGGGATATTAGGACGGTCTCGGATTTTAATTCGGGGTTCGTTCGTGAAATTGACGTTTTAGTACGGGAAGGTTAAACCGGTGTTTGAACGACCAGAACTGGTGAGGGATTAGCACGGCATACCGGGTTTGTCGTATCACGATAATTATATTGATGCTTAGAATTGACCTAGGTGAACTAGAATGGCATGATTAGGGGTGTATGAACTTTTGTGCTATATGATGAATCATGGACTACTG